ATAAAAAAACAAAAGCAAATAGATAAAGCATCAGCATGGATTAAATGGGAGCAAGAATTTCAAATTTATTTTACGCTTGAAGAGTGGTTATTGGGTCTACACTTAGTAAAAAGGCATATACATGGGGTAAACATACGGGAAGTTTATTTCAAACTTGTTTACAGATGGTACTTGGTACCCACTCGTCTACACAAATTTCAACCTACACTCCTACCAGATTGTTGGAGATGTGGTAGGGCATTAGGCTCATTCTCCCACATATGTGGGATTGTGAGGAGCTGAACCCTATGAAATTAATTCCATCTGGGCTTGTAAATTTTATTCTTTTTTTTTGTTTAATTCGAGTTTTATTGTTATTTCACAACGGGTAACGGGGATACAGAAGACAAGAAGGGAGCATGAGGTATGATGGTTATGGTACATACATTTTATACAGCAGTGTTGAGATAGACAAATGTACATCAATTCCCATTGTCCTTTGCGTATTAGTACTGCTGATATTATCTCATCGTTCTGTATTGCGTGAAACCTTGGTGCGGGGTTGGCGACTAGGGTCACCAGAGATTCTGGGGGTAGGGTGTGGTGGGGAGAGCGGGTAAGTATTATATACATGGGAAGTGGGTGGGAGGGAAGGTACAAGGTGTCTTTTATTGTTATTACTTTTCCGTCTATTATGATTTATTCCGTACTAGTGCCCAATGTTTTAGCCAGGGTTCCCATATGGTTAGGTAGGTAGTGTATTTGCCTATTGTGGACCAGTGTAGCATTTCCATTTCTCTCATGTGCTCTACCCTTTCTATCCATTGTTTGGCTGTGGGTGGTACATCTTGTTTCCAGTGGACTGGTATAAGGTTGTTTGCTTCTCCCAGAAGGATCCATAGTAGGCGTTGACTCTTCATACATTGAAAGGAGTGTGGCCAGCCTAGCAGAACCTGGGAGGGGGTTAGGGAGTGTGGTATCTTTAAGATTTCATCGATTTTGGATATTACGTCTGCCCAGTAAGTTCTTATAAGTGGGCAAAATCACCACAGATGTCCCATACTGCCCACTTCTCCCCCGCATCTCCAGCATTGTTCACTAATTGTTTGCCAATATAAATGGAGTACCTCCGGAGTTCTATACCACCTAGTGATGCGCTTATAGAAAGACTCTTGTCTTGATAGGCTACTGGAAGTGTGCATGGGTTTTGTGAAGACATATGCCCAGTCTTGGTGTGTCATGTGTATGTGAAGTTCCTTCATCCATTTACGTTGATATGCTAGGGTCTCCTGCGCATTGTCGTTAGTTTGGATGAGTTTATAAATTTGTGATAGGGTGCGTTTTATCGGCTGTGCGGTCGTGCATAATTGCTCAAAGGGGGTTAAACCTCTTGGGGTCCAATTTGGTAGTACTGCTTGGGTAATAGAGTGTCTCAGTTGTGAGTATCTCATTGCTTCCATTAGCGAACGGTGGCCTCTCGTAATTTGGAACTGCTTGAGATTAGGGGGTGTATCTCCTGTCAGTAAGTCTCCTATTTGTGGGTTTTGTATTCCCAATAGTTTTATTATAGTATCTGCCCCTCTGCCTCCTAATATATCCGGGTTATGGTTTAATGGGTATAATGGAGATATGCCCGGTGACAGTTTCCATGTATTTTTGTGTGATCTCCACTTCTTTAGGATGTGGGGGATAAGGGGGTGTGTCATGGTGGTCAGCTGCTGAAGTTGGCATGTTTGCCATGGGAGGGATGATAGAGGAGCCTGTGCATCCATTTGTTCTATGTCGTACCACGATTTTTTGTGCTTTGTATCTATCCATTCCCTTATTCTAGTGAAAAGAACTGCTATGTAGTAATTGTACATATGGGGTAGTCCCATACCTCCTTTCTTTTTTTCCCGTGTGAGTATTTCATATGCCAATCGGGATTTTTTATTTCCCCAAACAAACGTAAGGAAGATGTTTTTCAGTGTGTGGAAGAACTGGCGTCCGAGCTCGATAGGGAGCGTTTGAAATGTATATAGAATTTTTGGCAGTATCATCATCTTAATGATGTTGACTCTTCCAAAAAGGGAGAAGTGAGGTTTGTCCCAGTGTTTGAGTTGTTATTTATTGTTAGCCAAAAGGGGAATGTAGTTAATTTTATAGAGGCTTGTCGTTGTGGGTGCGAGTTTGATGCCTAAATATGTGAGGCCTGTGTTTGCCCATCGATAAGGGTAGTTGTGGCTTATGTGTTTGAGTTGGGTCAGTTTTAAGTTTATGCCCATTAGTTCGCACTTATCAGCATTTATTTTGAAATTTGAGTATGTGCTGAAGTGTTCTATTTCGCTCTGAAGATGCAGGAGGGATCGCTCAGGGTGGGTGAGTGTTAGGAGTACGTCATCTGCAAAAGCAGATACTTTTACTTCCTGTTCTCCTGCCCTGATGCCTTTAATGTTGGCATTTGCCCTGATGGCGTTCAGAAACGGTTCCATCACCAGGACGAATAGCAGTGGCGACAGAGGGCACCCTTGTCTTGTGCCATTACCTATGGCAAAGGGAGGAGAGTCTTGCCCATTAACTCCAATTGTGGCTGACGGTCCTTTATATAGTGTTCTCACCCATTGTATGTAATTGGGGCCGATTCCTATGGTTTCCAGGGTGGTGAATAGGAAAGTCCAGTCTACTCGGTCGAACGCCTTTTCGGCGTCCACCGAGAGGAGTATTGTTGGTTCCCTGGTGGTAGAGGCACCATGTATGAGGTTGAGAATTCTTGTGGTGTTGTCTCTCGCCTCCCTGCCGGGGATGAAACCCGCTTGGTCTGTATGGACCAGGTCAGGTAGTAGTGTCTTGAGTCGGTTGGCAAGGATTTTTGCAAGCAATTTAACATCAAGGTTAATTAGGGAGATTGGTCTATAACTACCACATAGGCTCTGGTCCTTGCCGGGTTTTGGCAGGATTGTTATCGATGCTTTCAGCATCGGGGGTGGTAGTTCCGTAGTGGTTAGTAGATTGTTAAGTACTTCTAGATAGTGGGGGGATAGGATGTGTTGGAAAGATTGGAAATATCTGGCCGTTAGGCCATCTGGTCCCGGGCTTTTACCCTTAGGAAGTGTTTTAATTGCTCGCTGCAATTCTTCCAGCTGGATGTGGGAGTCCAATATGGTTGACTGGTGGGAGTCTATGGTTTTTTGGATATGGGAGGAGATGTATGTTTTAATGTCATGGGAAGGGCTTCTCTGGTGAGCTAGGTTATATAGGTTACTATAGTATTCCCGGAAGATTTTGGCTATGTCCTCGGTTTTATCTTTACATGTACCGTCTTGCGCCTTTATGTGGGATATGTATGTTTTTTGGTGCTTTTCTTTTAGGGCTCTGGCCAGAAACTTCCCACTCCTATTACCATGTGCGTAGTATGTTCCCCTGGTTAGAAGTACTGCTCTGTGTGCCTGCAACGTAAGGATATTGCGTAGATCCATTCTCAATGCCGTTAGCGTGTTATATGCCTCCACTGAGGGGTCGTTTTTATGTTTCATTTCTGCTCTAGCTATTGCTTCTGTGAGTGATTTGATCTTTGCTTGGCGTTCTTTTTTTATACGTGCACCCCACTTAATCAGTATACCTCGGGTGATGCCTTTGTGTGCCTCCCATACCCAGGTGTCTGCGGTGTCTTTGTTTTTGTTTTCTAGGAAGTATCTAGGGAGGGAGGTATTGAGGTCATCAGTCACTCTCGGGTCGTCCAGTAGCGATTCATTTAACCGCCACTTGTTGGCGGGTGTGTATGTTCCTGTAATGGATAGTGTGAGGAACACCGGGGCATGGTCTGACCACGTGATGTGGCCAATTGATGCTTCCTTTAACAGGTGTAAGTGCCTAAGTTCTAAGAAGAACATATCCAATCTGGAATAACTATGAGCCACCTGTGAATAATAGCTATAGTCCCTCTCCTGTGGATGGGATATTCTCCAGCAGTCCACCAGCTGGTGGGCATGGAGGGATCTCTGAAACAGAGCCCTTTGGTGTGTCTGTGTGTCTCTACTGGTTGTGGAGCTGTCTGTAGAGTGGTCTAGAACCATGTTCCAGTCTCCCCCTAAAACTATTATCCCGTTTGCAAATTTGTGCAGTTTCCTAAGACATGAGTTGACAAACGATACTTGTTTGGTATTTGGGGCATATATAGTTGCTAGTGTCACCAATGTGTTATTCAGTGTGCCTTTGATAAATAGGTATCTTCCCAAGCGGTCTGTTTTGATTTCACTCGGGGTGAAGACTATGCGTGGTGATATTAGGATGGCTACTCCTCTTGCTTTGCCCCCGTGATAGTTGCTGAAGAATGCTTGTCCTATTGTTTTTGCCCTTAATTTAGGGGTTTGATCCCCCTTTAAATGCATTTCCTGTAAGAAAACGACACCAGCCCGTTGCCTGTCTATTTATTGGGTTAGTACTGTACGTTTCTCTGGAGTATTAAGTCCCCTAACATTTAGGGACATTATTTTGAGATCAGCCATTGGAGGTCAGGTGGTAGTGATGGCGTGTCTTCTCTGGGTGGTGATGCTTACGCTTGTACCTTCGGGTTTCAGGGGGATGTATGAGGGGTTGTAAACTTGGGAAGTTATGTACAATGAGCATGTGGGTAACATGCATCTACCAGATGGTGTCTAGCGCGCTAGGCTCTGTGTGAGTCCTACGTGCTCTCTGCGACACCTCTAGGGGGTTACGGGGTCTTGGTTGTCCAGAACGTTGGCCTGTAATCTGGTTTGTAAACTTATCATTCTAAAAGCATTTCTTATTGTATGGCCTGTGTTTTCTTATGTTAACTCGTAATAAGGTTTGAAGTGTGGGTTTCTATCCCCTAATTTCGCGCAGCCAGGGCCCGAACCCCAGGAGGGGTGTAGGCGGTGGCTGCGCGGAAGGCAGTTTAGATATACAATATGGTAAACAATATGCAAGTCGCGACAAACAGCATACAACTTTCAGTTATATAAGAAAGAGCATCTAGGTGCTTCAAAAGTCTGTTTAACATAATAAAGGATATATTGGGTCCCTCAGGCGGGTCTGCTTGTAGCGCATCTGGGGGACGTGGTCTGTTCGTTGCTCGATGGGATACGCCTTCTACGCTTTTTCGGGGTTCTTTGCCATGTATTTCTCCGAAAGGTGTGTGATGTCTGTCCCAATGTTAGCCCAGTCCAGTCCTCCACTGCGGCCTTTGGTAGTTTTAGGGCTTGCTGGAAGGCTTGGACCTCCGCAGGTGTCGAGATAGAGAACGTCGTCCCTTGCTGAGTGACCACAAGAGCGAAGGGATATGCCCATCTGTATCTAATGTTCATGTCCGAAAGGGCTGCTGTTATGGGTCTGAGTGCCCTCCTCGCTATGAGGGTCGATTGTGCCAAGTCTTGAAAGATCAGCACTTTATGTTCGTCATGTTTGATTTCTCTGAGGCGCCTGGCTTTTTGCAGGATTGCTTCTTTGAGTGGGAAGTGGTGGATTTTACATATAATATCCCTCGGTTTGTCCTGGGGCAGTGCCCGGGGTCTAAGCGCTCTATGCGCGCGGTCAAATTTAATGACAGTGTCAAGAGGTCTGCCCAATATCTTGTTAAAGAGGCCAGTGAGTAGGAGTATGATATCTTCTGTCTCTCCCTCCTGTGTTTCAGGGAAACCCCTTATCCTGAGGTTGTTTCTCCTGCCTCTATTGTCCAAATCCTCTAATTTCCTTTGTAAGAATAGGATGGCTTCATTGTGGGTTTGCTGTAGGGATTGTATATTTGTGAGATGCAGGGAACTTGCTTCCCCTTCCTCTTCTAGTGTTTGTACCCTGTGGCCTATTTGGCTTACCTCTTTGTGGAGCGATTGTAGTTTGTCCCCAAAGCTCCTCTCCATCTTGGAAAACATCAGTTCCAAGTCTAGTTTAGATGGCAATTGTGAGAGTAGGGTTTTTAGGTCGTTGCCCTCTAATGAGTTTTCTGAGGGTGCAGGGCTGGATGGTGCGCTGTGCGCGGGAGATTTCTCCGTCGCCGCCATCTTGGATTTGATCTCCGTCTCCGGTTTTTCTCCGAAATACCGTCGGAGGGATGTTTTGGACGAGGTAGGTGGTACCGCTGGGGTGGTGGTCGCCTGTGCTCTTGTTTTTTTTGCTGCCATGTCGCCTTAGCTGCCGGGGATGCTGCTTATAAGGCCTGTTCTGGACGGAGCTCAGCTCTCATGCGGCCATTCACTCCGGTGTCCAAGCCACGCCCCCTTAAATTTTATTCTTAAGGCACGAATTGACATAACTGCCAAAATGTTTTTGTTCCATTTAGATATGTCAAGGTTTAATATAAAAATTTAAATTCTCATGATTCATATCTTTATGGCAAGTAAAATAGTTATGGCCAGGAACTGGAGAAACATAGGTCCTTTAAATTGGCACGACATATGTACACAAGCAGGGCTGGACTGGGGATTCCAAAGCAGCCCTGGAAAATAAATCTATGCCAGCCCCATAAGTCATTGCGCCATATATTGTCGCATGTAATATGTAAGGCTATTAGTGATGTCGCGAACATAAAATATTCGTTTCGCGAACGGCGAACGCGAACTTCCGGCAATGTTCGCGAACGGGCACACAGGGTGAACCGCCATAGACTTCAATAGGCAGGCGGATTTTAAAACCCACAGGGACTCTTTCTGGCCTCAATAGTGATGGAAAAGTTGTTTCAAGGGGACTAACACCTGGACTGTGGCATGCCGGAGGGGGATCCATGGCAAAACTCCCATGGAAAATTACGTAGTTGATGCAGAGTCTGGTTTTAATCCATAAAGGGCATAAATCACCTAACATTCTTAAATTGTTTGGAATAACGTGCTTTAAAACATCAGGTATGATGTTGTATCGATCAGGTAGTGTAAGGGTTACATCCGCTTCACAGTGACAGACCAAACTCCCCGTTTAACGCACCGCAAACAACCGCAGACAGTCCATTTGCACAACCGCAAACTCCCCATTTGCACAAGGTTGGATACCAAGCTAGCCATGTCTCGTTCCTTGTCCTCACTGATGTCATTGAAGGTCTCTACCTCCACCCAGCCACGTACAACACCAAGGGTCCCCAAAAGGTGACAACAAGCCCCCTGGGACGCCTGCTATCTTTGGTCTTCCACCTCCTCAAAGCCACCTTCCTTCTCTGACTCCTCTTCTTCAGACTCCTCTCTCTGCGTTGCCTCTCTCTGCGTTATTATAAGGTGTGTTAAGTAGTACTATTCCTATCAGTTTAATCCCTGTTACGTCCCCTATCAGGGGACGTGTATGTGGCATCGATTTTAGGAACCGGGAGATGGAAAACGATGCTTGGTAGGTCCTCCTTCTTCAAATTTGGGGCACTGCACGTGAAATCTAATGTGCCACCAGATAGTAGTGGTGTGTTAAGTAGTACTATTCTTATCAGTTTAATCCCAATGTCACGACTACTAGTGTGGTCCAGCACGCAGAAACGATGTAAACATATACATAGGCAAGAAAAGGAAAATAAAAGGACAGAGCGTAAACCGGACCTTAGAATGGCCGGACTAATATGCTAGAGACAGAGAATGGTCAAAGGGGAAGCCGAGGTCAAGGAAGCCAGAAAATACACAATACCGTTTACACAAGCCAAGTCACGGAAACCAGAATTCAGAATAACCAGGGAAAAGCCAAGGTGCGTCAAGGTTCCGAGCGGAAGCTGTAGAAGATTGGGTGTCCTGTGTTAGCCAGTCAACTATGTCCTCAGAACATTTCGAGTTCAGGGTACGTGGCCTCTGAACACTGGGCATTATTCTAGGGCCAAAGGGAATCACAGCACCACGACCACGACGGCCCCTGCAGGGTGGCCTGCCTCTGCCTGTCATTTTTTTTTCGATTAGTGGTACTATGTGTGCAAGCTACTGTGACAACAGATATGAGTGGCACTGTGCAGTGGCAGAAGTTGGCAGAGTAGACGCTGTAGGCCTGACACACACGCTTGCAGACAACTAACTGCTATTCAATCTATTACAGTCAAAATTGTATTTTTTTTTTTTTTAAATGTACACTACTGTTACACCAGATAGGAGTTGCACTGGTGTGACACTGTGCCCTGAAACGCACACGTGTGAAGGAAACTGACTGCTATTATATTACAGTCCAAAAAGTTTTTTTTTTGTTAAATGCAAACTATTGTGACACTGGATATGAGTGGTGGCACTGGGCAAGTGGGCACAGTATACGCTGTGAGCCTGACACACACGCTGGCAGACAACTAACTGCTATTCAATCTATTACAGTCCAGATTTTTTTAATTTTTTTTAAATGTACACTACTGTTACACCAGATATGAGTTGCACTGGTGTGATACTGTGCCCTGGCAGGCACTGAAACGCACATGCGTGAAGGAAACTAACTGCTATTATATTACAGTCCAAAAAGTTTAGTTTTTTTTTAAATGCAAGCTATTGGGACACCAGTGAGTGAGTGGTGGCGAGGGGGAGGCTGAGGGTGGTGGGGGCTGGTGATGCTGAGGGTGGTGGGG